GGGCGGGGGGGGGGGGGGGGGGGGGGGCGGGGGGGGGCGGGGGGCGGCCCCCGCCTCTACCAAGCTCACAGCTGCCCCAACAGTTTTTAGTCCCGGCCAGGAGACGCAGGACTGAAACCTCGGCGAGCAAAAGGCCTTTGTCATACCCTTTTGTTTTCGGGACTTTATGAGGTGGCCCGGGTTTGCCTGGAAGTCCACCCGAGCTTAGACTCGACTCCGCCCCCCCCCCTCGTGGAACGGAACTCTCCAAGTACTCACCGGAGGGGGGACTATAAAGAGGAAGGACCTTGGCAGCGGCGGAGAGCCGGGATCCGAGTGGGAATTAAGTTTTATCATTGACTTCTCTCCTACCTTAACCTGCCTCCAACCCCAGCTGAGCCTAAATGAACACAGCCCCTCAGTCGTGGCCACCTGGGTGCCAAGGCTACCCCTCTGAGCGGCTCGCACCAAGAAGTGGAGCCCGTGGAGTCCCGCCCGAAGGACGCACGTTAGGGGGTGGCACCCACTGCTCGCCGTCCTGCCCCTGGTCCGCCTCCTCGGGGGAGCTGAATCCTGCTGGTCCCGGGCTGATGGGGGAAGAAAGTACACCAGCCCGCAGGAGACATAGAGAACCTGGATGCAGGCAGAGAACAAGTCGGCTTTCTGGATCAGCAGTGACAAGGTCTTCTGAGCGGGCCGCCAAACTCATCTGAAACCTTGACATCCTTCCGATGACCCGCCATTGTAGCCCCGCCCTGACCCAAACCTCACCTGAAAACAATCCCAAAGTGGCGCCCTGCAAAGAAAGCAAAAAAGGGAGGCCTGAACACTGCCCCCCCCCATATACACTTCTGGCACCCGTGGCCTCCTAGGAGAGTCTTTCAGCTCATTTACGGTAGTATAATTTGAAACTTGGCATCCATGAATAGTCGGGGTCGCTAATTCACCGGAGGCTACATTCTTTGACCCAGTCTCCATTGTCCACCAAAATCTGGCCCATATTTGAATTCAACTGGGCAGTTATTCTAATGTAATTGATTTTACAAACACTTTGCTGTTCTCCACTTTGACCCATTTCCTTGCCTGAAACCTATCTTTGCCTTAAGGACTTGACTTCAGTCCATGCTGTTATTAGCTTTCCCCATTTCCTGGTTTCCTACAGCAATTTCTTTAGTAAAGATGAGACAAAGTCAGTTCAAACTGCACTTTATTCCAGTTCTAGTTGTTTGAATTTTAGTGTTTTTATCTGTTGGGATAGACTTCATAACTTGTAGAGTGATGAGGTCAGGAGCATTTAGTACATGCTTGGCTCATAGAATAGCATTTAAATCAGGTCTTTTCATCACCATTTGGAGATAATGTATTGTCTTATATTTGCATTTTCAACAGAGGCATGTTTTTCCATCTGAATTATGGATTGTTTACTGATAAAGCCTGGTTGGTATCTCCCACCATGCCTGGCACAGTGTTAATCGAACATGTGTTTAGGGCTTGAAAATTAGTCCTGCTTATTTGAGTCCCCCTTTGCTCCTTAACTAAAACACTTAACCCCTTATCAGCTCACATACATTTTTTTTTTCTGAGACATTCTTGTAGTAGTCTTGTCATGTAGCCCAGGCTGAACTCCACTGTGTTATATATCCAAGACTGGCCATGCCACAAACTCATAGCAGTATTCCTCTTCTTAGCATGCAAATTGCTGGAATAATAAGCATACACCACAACACCCAGCTCACATACTTTTAAACATTGTTCTCAAGCATTGGTCCCCCTCATACCTCCTACCCTCCCTTCCCTCTTCTAAACTCCTTTTTATCTGTTTTAATACTAGCTCTTGAGTTATGAAGCAGTGCATGATGGACTTCCATGCAGGACTTGCTGTGGTCTCTGGAGTAAATCCAATTAAACCTTAAATTATCATAATTGAATCCCGTATGTGAGCCTTTACTGGAGATTCCCTATATTCTTCTGCATCTAAAAGCTGGCATCATTGCTTATTTTTGTGAAGGCTCGTGTTCTCATTGGAAGCTGCTTAAGACTCCATTTTACAGGTCGACATCCAAAGTGGAGATTTCATGTCTTTTGGCTCTAAGTAAAGCATCCCATGTCTGACTAGAGGGTCCATTCTTTTTTTCTTCTTTATTTAAATTAGAAACAAGCGTCTTTTACATGTCAATCTCAGTTCCTTCTCCTCCACCCCTGCCCCCCCAACCCCCTATCCCAACCCTTTTCTGCTCCCCAGGGAGGGTGAGGCATTCCATGTAGGGCGAATCTTCAAAGTCTGTCATATCATTTGGACCAGGGCCTAGACCCTCCCCAGTGTGTCTAGGCTGAGAGAGTATCCCTCTATGTGGAGAGGACTCCCAAAGTTCATTTGTGTACTAGGGGGTCTATTCTTAACTTGATGAAGCTAACCAATTAACCAAATTAAGTTATTTCTATCACAATTTAGTTTAGTTGCCCTGGAATCATTTTACTTTTCCATTACAATAGTATAAAGACTGTTAAATTTGTCTCTGCTCCAGCTTGTTGCAGATATATAAGATAGAGTTACGAGGACACACCAGAAACTGTAGGGTTTCTTTGCAGTGAAGAACATATATATATTACATGTTTTAAAAGCATATATTTTAGAACCAGAAGCAGTGATACACATTTGTAATCCCATATGTGTGTGTGTGTGATAAAATACACTGTATGAAATTCTCAAATAATTAATAAAAATATCATTTAAATGCTATTTATTATATAAGAATATTTTTAATTTAATTTTACCTGCTTTGATTTCTTGATATTATATCTGGAAACTGAGGTGAAAGATAAATGAATGTACTGCTAAGAATGTTTGATTCAACTTTATGATCCTTTTTAAAATATTCATTTTATTTTATGTGTATGAGTGTTTTGCCTGCATGTATGTATGTGCACTATATTTGTGTCTGGTGCCTATAGAAGTCAGAAGAGGTTACCAGATCTCCTGGAACTGGAGTCATAGATGGCTGTGAGCTGCTGTGGGTGCTGGGAGCCAAATTCAGGCCCTCTGCAAGAACAAGATGTGTTCTTAACCTCTGAGCCACCTTTCCAGTCCCAATATTATGTTTTTTATTGTACTCACTCAGATTTTCCTGTTTTCTGTCCCTCAAACTCCAAGGAGGAGCTGAGAGAGAGAGACAAACTGAATAGTCTTTCATTGGTGTTCTGGAGACAAAACACACACACACACACACACACACACACACACACACACACACACACACACACACACACACACACACACACACTACACAACACTGAACTATCCATTGAAATACCCTTCAAAAGACACCTGCCTCCAAGGTGACCTTGTTAGTTACAACACGAGTCACCAAGTGCAACAGTTTGTACCATTTCTGATGAGGGCAATTACAGTGCAGCTCATTAAAGTCAGCAGAAGTCCTGGGTAGAATCAATGATTGCAGCGTTTTCTGGGTGGAAATTTCTCGAATGCACCAAAGAAACGCTTCAAATGTTGGACACTGCTTTGACATTCTCCGAATACTGGTAGCCCCTCTGTTTCCCTTATATCAGAGTCTCACTCTTCAGGACCAATTTTAAATCCAGAGGCAGATGCTTCTCAGAAACATTTGTCTCTGTTGCGTCATGTTATTTCTCTGAATTTATGAACAAATAAAAAACCAAGAGAATTTAGCTTAAGGACCAGACATGAAGCATAATACAAAAAACAAGGATGGTAGGAACTGAAGGACATGTGGCATCGTGCCTTTTAGGTGCACTCTGGCATGCACATTGCTTTGGGAGATTGAATTCTGAGGTCTCATCCACCCTCACCCTCACCCTCAAATCTAGAGTGTCTCATCACCATTCCAATCAGTTTGGAACTTGGGTTCTCCCTAGGAGCTGAGGAGCTTGGAAGGAGAGTCTGCTCAGACAGTTCTTATCTAGAGGCAGCCAGCTCTCCCCATTTGTGGCTTCCACATGCTAACTAGACTCAAAGCCTCTTAAATCTTCTTTCCACTTTCCTGAAATCCTGCTGTTTGAGGCTGAGGAAGAAGACATTTAGATGGAATCTGAAGTAAGTTTCATACATTTCCTACAGCTCAGTAGCAGCACGTGTTAAAGAGAAGCTTTTGAAAGAGTAAGATAAAGTAGAAAATAGCCCTTGGAAACCACTCCCATGAAACAGGACAAGTCCTTTTCTCATTTCACAGTCTAAAACTTCAGAAGGTGTGTCCTACCACTTCTGTGCCATGCTGCCAGGGCATGGGAGGAAGAGAATGCAGACCAAACTTAAAGATCTTAACTGAAAATTTATTTCATTGATTTTTAACATTTTTGTCCACTGTAACATATAAACACAAAATAATTAAATAATTTGGAGAAAAAATTTGCAAAGACAAATGAGCACACACAGAAATGTATATTCCTACTATGGTTAGTCTGGGATACAACATTTACTTGCAATATATGCAAGGGAGCTTTAGTGAAAGACCTAACTAAAAGAATTTGAAATGTTCCTAAAAAGGACCTACTGTACTTGAGGTATCACTCAAGCAAGTATAGATGAGAAGCAGGACAGACCCTCTATAACTAGGAACAATCAGAGTTGGAGATGTATATATATTATCACAGGATAGTTCACTATTTCCAGTAGCTGCCCCCCCTTGTCACTGTACACTCTTCAAGATTTGACATGTTTTTAAAAATACATACAAATGTGATTGAACCAGAATGCAGCAGTTGTAACAACGTACCATGCAGTTGTCATTTAAAGAACTGATTTGTTTGCCATATATACATTCTTGAAAACTAATCCTACTCTGACTCCCTCTTTGGAAAGGCTCTGGGTATTTGAGAAGTGGCAGTGTATATATTTTCCACCTTCACAATCTTACTGACATGGCTTAGATTACAGTTTTATCCTCTATGAACAAGGTATTAAACCAAACATCTCAATGCAGTTTCTGTAATCTGATCACTGGGAATGAAGTCCAGGCATGGGTGTTGGCTTTAAGTGTCAAATATAGTCACACAAATCATCCTCTGCATAAGGATGTACCCAAGAGGATGATCAGGGCTAAAATGTGGCACCACTGTTTTCCAAACTACAAGCTCATAAGGCTGTGTCTGCCCAGTGTGGGCACCTTTTCTTGATTGCTCAAAGGCACTTTCTGAGCTAATTGTGTCACTGTCTGTTTATAATTGTTCAGTCTGCCTTAATCATTGTTTCTTGACTTCAGCGACATTTCTGAATTTCACATCCTATATGATCTCCCAAAGGAGGGTAAGAATTCACTGAATCGGGAAGTTATCACATTAGATAAAATGATGCAACCATGAATAAATTTACACAATAGAAAATAAATATTAAAAAGGTAGAGATAAGATTTTTGACATGTGAGTCACTAAAATTTAGCTTATATACAACAAAGGCATGCACAACTAAACTCACCGACAGACTGAAGTAAACATATTTTCTAGGATGTTATCAAGGATAGCACCCTCTTTAAAATATGACTGGAAATCAACATTCCTTTTTCTTTTCCTAGGTCTTATTCTGTGGTTTTAACAACAATCTTCTTTCCAATGAAAGATAACCAAATTGCAAATGTCTAAAGACCATAATTATGCCATTGTTTCTTCTTCCAAGAGTAACCACTGCCCTCAATTAGCTTATGTCCTTTTAGAGGTTGCTGAGTAGAAAACAAGCTGATTTTCATACATCTCACATTGTGTCAAAAGAAAACTGGACACTTCACACCATCAACATCATGCTTTGATTAAGAAGAAGAGAATCACATTTGCTCGATAAAGTGTAAGCTTCCCCGCTTTGAAGTCCTTCTGAGCGCCATCCGGCTTTTACCATTGCAGGAATCTTCCTTGTTACTAAACATGTGCTGTTTCCCTGTGAGATCATGAAGGCACACATCTCCATTCTGAACGCTGAAAGAGACCCCATTCCTCTCTGTAGACGCATTGCCTGGATAAGGAATATCAAAGTTGATGTCATGAAATAGCCAGAGAAAGCACTGAAGACCAAGCAATTTAATGTTAAATAGGCACACGGGAAATGAGTCTTTAAAAAACACCCATCCTATGTTTTCATATTTTATTTTTATTGCTTCTCTAATGTCAGTGACAGTAAGTACAACAAATTGGAGGTTGATCAGAAACAAAATTCCCACGGTAGTTTTTTAAAAAGTGAAACATTCAAAATGGGAAAAAGCAAGACATGATTTTTTTTTTTTATTTTCAAAGGCTCATTTCCTAACTTCAATTGAACACATTGAATTTAACTGTGTATAAGATAATCTACAGTAATACTTAAGATTAGCAGAGATCCTATAGGCACTCTTGTAGGCTCCTGATTCCCTGTAATTCCTATCAAATGAAATTTTATATTAGAAGATAAGCCCAAAGAACCATCTACAGTCATGGTAAGAAGAAATCATCTCTCTCTAAAAATCTGTCTTCCGACGATTATCCCAATAGCACAATTTTCCACGAGGAAGCTGTGGATTCCAACCTAAGGGTCCAATCAGAGGGCAGTAGGGTATTAATTCAGTGGTACCTGTGATTTAGACCTACACCTCCCTACCATTAGCAGCCTCAGATCCTTAGGACACAATATCTATGAGCTTTTAGCTACTTAGCACCATCCTTCTGATATTCCATGTGCAAAGCTGAATAATAAGCCCATTGGTATTTTCACAGTACAATCATATTAATGATGAGACTAGCACTGAACACATCATACTTATAGTTAGTGCTAAGGGATGGGTGCTATTTATTCCCCATCTCACAGATGATATGACAAAAGTTGTAGAAATTAAATGCTCTGCCTGAAAGTCTATGGCTCAAAGGTGATGGACTGAATACTTGAGAATTTTGCTTTCAAAGTGTGAGCTTGTGGCCCTTTGTACTAAATTGCATGGCTCTAAGACAGCTTGGAACTGAAATATGTCACATTCACGCCAACGAGACAGTGGATATGGTTAACACAATCCCATATGCGCCACAGCTCAGATAGGGCATGTGACTGTCTGAGGCAGCTGTTCTAACTTAGGCATTTTGGTTTGAGGACATTTTGGTTGCAGGAACAATTTGTCCCAGCATAATAAAGCACTCAGCTGCCAGGTTCTTTTTTGAAATTCCCAGTGCCACTCCTCATCTGGTGTGAGGGCTGACAAGCCAGAGATGTTCATTTGACAGGCATATTATCCATTTTGAAACATGTAGCCATTCTGTTGACTGTAAAGTGCCCCCCTCCAACTGTCAGACATCAAAACTAGCCGTGTTAAACAGCAGTGTCAAGATAGGCTGCTTCTATAAGATCTGAGTCCCTGAAGAATGACAGCATTTTTTGAGAGGGCTGGGTAGGTAAAGCCTCACCTCTAAGCTCTTTTCCAAAAGTGGAAAATTCTAGTGATAGATCAAGAACCCCAAACACAGAGGGGTCTAACTTCTCGATGATCTAGTTTGATCCTTTCTTTTCACACCTTTCAACTTGCTCTCTCACTCTTACTAAGCAGCTTTCATCTCCATGTCTTTACTCCAGGGATTTAAAATGCATCATTCCCGATATGGCAAGTTGGCATTGGGCCCAGAACTTTACTCTTGGTATTGACAGTGAAGATATAAAGCCACATGGCAGCAATTTCTTATCTTTTACAGCAATGGTTCTCAAAGAAGGACAATTTATTACCTTTCTTCACAGGGGACAGTGTTTGGAAGCATTTTTGCTTGCCACAACTTGGGGCAGGGCACTGGTGGTAGAGAGGCTAGGGATGCTGTACAACATCTTGCAATTCTCTAAAAAAATATCTAGCCCCAAATGCCACCAGTGCCTGAGACTGAGAGGTCTTGATGTCAAGGAACCCTGTTGTATTTTCTTTGTGTAAAAATGCATATGTGGTATGTGTGCACATGCATGCTAGCATGTATATGAGTTCACACAAGTGCACGAATGCACAAGTAATGTGTGCCTACATGTATGTGGAGGCCTGGGGTTGATGGACAGTATCTTCCTGGATTGTTTTCCACTCTATGTTGAGGCAGGGTTTCTCACTGAATCTGGAGCTAACTGTTATAGCTGTTCTGGCCAGTCAGTTTGTTTGGGTGTTTCCTGTCTCCATCTGCCTCTTATGTGCTAGGATTACAGCAGGGCCGCCACACCCACTGGGCTTTTAAGTGTGTTCTAGGGATCTTGTCTTCGCCCTTCTGCAGCACCCACTGAGCCATCTCCCCAGCCAACCCCCAGTTACATTTTTTTTTTAAAAAAAATCAACCTATCAGAAGCCCTCATCTTTATGAGACTAAAAAACTATTTGGTAGAGACATGAACCTTCTCAAAAGCTGATTTGGATTAGTAATGGAAAGAATTAATGTCTTCAAACAATGGACAAAGGGCGATTGTCCACTGGAAGGAGAAAATATACTAGCATATAATAAGTTTTTAATAAAATGCAAAATATATATTAAGAAGCAGTAGAAAGAAAAATAAGCACGATAAGCTTTATGAGTAATGAACAGCCCAGTCTTGGAGAGAAAGAAAATGTAATGAAGTTTTAGCTAGAAATTTTAGGCTTAATGAGTAAAAGAAGCATAGCTGTAATAATCTGTTATATCTGGGAGACACAGATAGTGACCAATATTGCTCACAATTCATCTTCCAACATTTGATGTATTCATGGGGATGTGGATGCTGTCAAAAGGCAGCCACATTGTGGGAAAGGATTAACAAACATGAAAAGTGAAAAACAGGAAGATTTCAAAGTGCTAAGGATGTACATGATTAATAGATATGCTTTTAAAAATAATATTGTTTGGTAATTTAGGTACTGCTCTTACAGAGATGGTGCAGCACTGAAGTCTTTGAGAAATATTTAAATTATGATTTGTCTATAAAATCTTTTAGGTTATGGTCAATTCCCATTTGGGGAAACTAAATCTTCTCTAAAAAGTCATTCTTGTATTAGCTCTAAAATAAAGAAATTTGGATATATAAATATTCTGGCTTATAAAGAAAACTCTGTTTTGATCCACTAGTCATTGGTGTAATCAATCATTCAGTTTGCTTTTCAAGATGAACTACTTCAAAAACTAAACACTGGCTTGAGAAACACTATATTGAGACAGACATACATACCATTCCCGCTTGCGTGCACTGAGCAATCATTATTCACTAGTAGTGTGGTGGAGTTAGTGGAATTACAGCTTGACTGTAAGGAATTTGAAGAGCTGGATACTCCTTGGTTTACAGTCTGCTTCTTTAAACCATTAGTAGCAGTTTTACTCCAGTCTACAGCAGAATAAGCATTACAGAAAAACAGGGCTGTATGTTGAAGCTCAAATGCAAGAGACAGGTCAAAGTGTAACAAGTTCTAGCAATTGAATTCTCACTCCAAGATCTCATAGAGAACTCATACATTTGACAAGCTGGTGTTCTAAAAGGTACCTTCACTTCCACTGCATGCATTTACCTTTCAAATGACTGCCTCATTAAAAGGAACTTGTGTCCTCCTCCAACAAAAGTCTGTGCTAACTGGATTGTCTGGAAATATCCACTGAATTAGGAAGTAACCCAGATCATCTCTTCCTCTGCCCTCACGAGAACATAAAATCAACTCTGCTGTGGTAATTGTTCTTGAATCCATACAGATGACTGATCTCCACACCCTGGCATTTTCTAAATACAGACCCCAGCACTCATCAGGTACTGAGAGGTGATATTCATGCAGAAGGAAGCTAGCTTTTCAAACAGGGCTTTAGTCTTCTTTTTAAAAAGAAAGAAAGAAAAGGAAATTAGCTTTTTGCTCTATTAGCCAACCGAGAATATGTGAAAAGAACTACAAAATAACCAAACACATGCCAAAGCTTATATACAAAGTCTGGCCAGTTAACAAACGAAGCCACTGACAACCTGGACCTGTGAGGAAGGGTGAGTCAAGCCTTAAAGCGTTATGAAGGAAAATATTAAAACTCACTTTGGGAAATGAAAAACATGAGCTCAATAGGAAACAAACTAAAAATTTCACTGTTGCTTCATTCAAGAAACAGTTGGTCACTAACTCTATTGCTCACAAAATTCCCATGTAGGAAGAATTCTTTTTTTTAACCCTTTACTGATCAATGAACAGTTGTACGGGTTGTGTCCCCCTGCCTTCCAGATCTGACAACTCCTTGGCAATGAGTGTGTTCGTCTTAATGTATACATTATTTTCTTGAGATTTAAGAGAAGAAAAACGAAGGTAAATCTTTACCAGAATTTTCAGCCAGCCGTAATTTTCCACAACAAACATACCGCCTCCACTGTTTCCTGACATTATCTTTTGCTGCACAATAAAAGATGAATATGAAGAAGCCTAAAAGGAGAGAAAAAATCCCAAACCATTCTTCAGTGAATTCCACATAAAACCTGCATCTTGGGAGTTTGCTTTGCATAAAAGAGGAAATCTTTGGCAGTTGTAGACGAAGTAAAATTTGGTTAATTGAATAAAGTGTCTAAAATCCAAAGCTTTACACAAAGATCTTTGTAAGATAGAGTGCTTATAAAAGGACTTGTATTTCCACAGCAATATTTGCCATTTCTTGTCCCAGGTCTTGCCCTCATCCTTCTCTGTTCTGGTAGTCCTACCCAGGATCCTAGCTGAGACCTCAGCTCCCATTTCTCGATTCCTCTGAACTTGCAATCTAGTTCCAAATTCTGTTCAATGTCATCTCCTCCCCAGTCTTATGTGCCTCTTCCCTGTGCCAGGTCCCTTGCTTGGGTCCTTTGGGCCTTCTGCTCTGAGCATCAAGCCTGCAGAATGTTTGGAATTATGTTTCTGCCATCTTCCTGCCTCCCTTCAAGGGGCAAAGACAATTTCCCCTGAAGTTCCAGCATAGAAAGCTAGCTGCGGGTTTGAACAGGCCTTTGGATTTGCTTCCTACCTACCACTGTGCCCAGTTAGAGGGGCCAGGGATCCTTACTCAGCACTGCCTCTGCCAAAACCCCAAGACTTTTGCTAGTAAACTATTTGTGGAATGTATGGATGAATTCTGAGCCCTCTCACTCCCCCCAACACTTACTTACTTTTAAAATATTCATTTAAAAACACCAGATTTGCTTCGAATGGGGAATATATGAGAGGGTCTCAAGAGGTGGCGGACATTACACACCTTTGCCTAATGTTACCATGGGAGGCTCCCTTGGATGCATGAAGTGAGATACAGCACGTGTGAGAGAGGTATGCATGGAGATATGCACCAGCCAAAATAAAAAAAACCATATACACAGCTTATCATCAATCAACTCAAAAATACCGTAAAACTGGGTCTTTGCTCCCTTTTACAGAAGCAGCAAATTAATTCTAGTCATTTATGTCCTAATAAGATAGTCTGGGAAGATGGAGAAAAAGAGGGAAGTTTGCTGGATTATTAAGCCTCATGAAGGTAGGTACATAGATTTCATGTTAATGATTAATGTGAATTTGCTTAGCATATATTTTTTTCTCTTAAAATATCTACTACTTTTAGTATCCCACTCTTAGGATAAAAACCTTTCTTGAGTCCAATGTGGTGGCACATGCCTATATATTTCCAGCATTGGAGAAGCAGACGTGGGAAGACCACTGTGTGTCTGTGGCCAATCTGGTGAATCCTAGACCACCAGGAGTATAACGACATTCTACCTGAAGAGCCCCCCCCCCTCAAAAAACTCCAAAACAGAAAAAAACCTTAATGTAATTTTCTTGTTTTTTTATATTTAATATGATATAGCAAATACCTGGATATACCAATAGATAGCCGTGTGTGTGTGTGTGTGTGTGTGTGTGTGTGTGTGTGTGTGTGGGTGTTGTGTGCTTTTTCAAATAAAATAAGAACATATGGCTAAGTTAGGTATTAGAACTGTACTTCTGGGAGGCATTTCTTTGTAAACTGGCAAAATTATCTATTGCCTGATGGGGCCGCAGGAGGGCAGTATGGCAGCCAAAAGCAACATGAAAACAAGGAGAAGAGAATGTAATGGAAAGGAGTTGGAATAAGAGAAAGCCAAGGGACAATTCTTTATTGTTTCTGTAATATAAACCTATTAGCCTGCTGGGCTTTTAATGCCAAAGCACTTCCATTAAAAATTAACAGCTGACAAGACTTTTATAACACTCCTCCAAAAGGATTTAGTAACTTGCTTTTCTAAAAAATACAACTGCTAGAGTCCCAAAGTCAGAGTAGTTGGGCTTTATTACCATGTGGGAAGCTCAGAAGTCAAGGAAATCCTCAAAGGCTACCCCAGGCCTGCTCAGGGCAGCTTGGCAACACCCAGAGATTAGCCCATGGCCAAGACCACTGCCACTTGGGTTTGTTTATTATCTTCCCACTTATCATTGTATGTTTCCAATTGAAGCCCCAAGCCTAAGCCCTAGGTCTGCATGGTTAACTCTTTTTTTTGTTTGTTCGTTTGGTTTTCTGAAACAGGGTTTCTCTGTATTGCTTTGGAGGTTGTCCTGGAACTCACTCTGTAGACCAGGCTGGCCTCGAACTCACAGAAATCGGCTTGCCTGTGCCTCCCGAGTACTGGGATTAAAGACATGTGCCACCAATGCCTGGTTACTGTGTGGTGAATTCTTACAGTGGCATGCTATTTGGGTTTTTCCTGTGTGTGAGTTCTCCTTTCATAAATTAGCTTAGAAAATAAATAAAAAAGGAAGGAATCAAGAAAAGGGAGAGTAATTGGCTCTCCCAGAAAGAGTTCCTGGCAGATTCCTTCAATATAGTTTCTCCAAGGAGATGAGGATGGATAAAAGGAAAACTCACCATTTCTCAAAATTAGTAAAATGCTTTTTTCTAAGGACCCCAAAGCTCCTGTTCTCAGCAATAAATTGGTTCTAAAGGAGTACATCTTCAGCTACTAAATAGCCTTAGAAGTGAGTTTTTTTTTTTTTTATTTTCCACTCGGCTCTTTGGGTTCATATTTAATGCTACAGTGCTTACCTTGTAAGGTGTTAAAGACAGAGAAGAGATACATAAAGATGACATTAACTGGTCCCCAGGCAAAGAGGGCAAAACCCCAAGTAATTCCCAGTAAAAATGTGAGGCCAGCAATACTCCTGAGATCTTGGATACTAGTTTTGCGCTGTGCTCCCAGTTGCTTCTTCCTTTTAATTCGACAGAGTTGAACCAAGACGACAATGAACATGCTGATGTTCAGTAGAAATATTACACAGAAATATCCTACGACTGTGATATAGAACACGGCATTGCTGTTGATCCAGCAACTGGATGGGGGAGAGGAGAGGAGGAAAACATTATAATGATGGAAACATGCTTGCTCCAAGTGACACACTGAATCTATAATGTTTGGCTGAAAACTTTTTTATTCTTCAAGGACAAAAGAAAAAAATGATAAAATGCTCTTCTCCACAAACACCCAGGGAACAGAATCTAAGCGTTTATCTTAGAGACACTTGGTAATGAAGAATATTTTAGGGCTTGGAGAGATGGCTCAGTGGTTAAGAGTAATTGGTGCTTTTCCAGAGGGTCCAAGCTCTGTTTCCAACACCTATGCTGGGAAGCTCATAATTACCTGGAACTTCAGCCCAAGGGATCTGACACCCTTTTCTGGCCTCCACAGACACAAACATGTGGCACACACTCATGTGTACATATACATATACACAAATAAAAATAAATCTTAAAATATTTTAAAACTATTTTAAAGCATTCAGAATGGTGTAAACTGTAATTATCCTAGTCTTCATGTCCTTATTAATATAATATCATGAGCATTTCATTTTTATCAGAGGTTAAGTGTCTTAATATACTTCTTCCTAATATGTATACTCTCTCAGAATAATTCCTCTTAATTCGCTGATTAAATAGTAGGGTGGCATTTTCAACTAGCTAATCTCATTACACATGATGATGAAGGCTCTTGTTAAAAGTGATTTTAGATTTTATTAGGATGGTAGATATAGCCAATAGACTGATTAGATCCTCCATTTTCTTGGAGAATTTAATTTTCTAGTTCCCTGGGCATTCCTAAGATGAATTTATACTTACAAGTCATCTGGCGTGCCATTGGGGAATTTCCCATAAGATCCAATCCCATAATTATCTGGGGATATAGACAGGACGATAGTCACAACAACAGCTGGTACCCCTGAAACATGGGAAACATTAGTCACACAGTTCTGACAGCCAAAGAAAGACTGACTGGAGGTCATTCTATTTTCCTTCCTGTGGCATGGCAGAGACTGGTTAGCTATTCACCAGATTAAGTTTCTTTTCATTTTTGCCAAATGAAGGATGGATGCTTTGGCAGCCAGAACTCTATTTTTGGCTAGTGGGCTATAAACAGAAGTAATTTGCTGCACTGTGGTCCTGCCCTCTAGAAACTACCTGCAAGATCCTCCACTCTTTACCCCCAAACCAAGAGTAGTCTTGGAAACTCCATCTTGAGGCAGAGTCTTCCTCAACTGTACTTCATAAATAACTATAGAGACGCCTTCTTTCCCTTCAACTGGGATGCAGGTGACTGAGAAATGATCTGCTGAGATCTCAAGGCTTCTCTCTTATAGCAGCTAGTGTCACCATTAAATAATACATGTCTGAGATGTAAATTTAAGAGTAAGCAACTCCCAGTGAGTCTTTCATTATAAAATTAAAATTCCTCAGTTGATTATTTGGAACCAAAAGATGAATGGAAAAATCTGTTTTCACTAACTTAGGGCTGGTGATGCTACTATGTTGGCTTTCTCAAGGGCCCATGAGTACTTCTCTTAAAAGGAGGCACAAGAGGGATCCTGACAGTTAAAATGGCTTTCATCTAGGAAAAAATGCCTCACAGGTTGTCACTCACCAGCCCCATGCTGCCACTCTACACTACACACAGACCAGCCAGTCAGCTTCACTGCTCTGGTAAATAAAACAATGACAATAATGCCTTTTATAGATTGGCTGGGTGCCTGATACAATCAAATATATTTTTCATTTTATTTCATTTGTACATCTAATGATACTGATATGATGGTTTCCTAAGTAAGACATTTTTAAAGATAGAATACTGGTGAATGGAGTTGTAGTTCATTCTTAGTTTGTTTATGGTCCTGTGTTAGAGACTCAGTGTCAAAGACATGCATAAGTACTGGAGGTGAAGGAGCTTGTCCTTGACAAGGGCACCTGGCATTTTAGCTTTCTCTAAAGAAGATAAAATTCCTGGACCTGTGACTTTCTTTCTGGACAAGTGAAGGAAACTGTATGTTTTGTTATTCTTCACAAAGATATAAGGATAGGCAGGGTGACATATAGTGAAAAGCTTGTAGTCCTGTTGTGTGGGAGGGACTATTTAAGCTGAAGAAGACAAGGGAATGTGGGAGTGTAGATGGCTGGAATCTAGTGGAAATGAGATGCCTGAAGAATGAGAATGCCAGCCTGGGCTGTCTTCTAGCCTTGCAAAGTGGGGGGTACACCACACCATCACCTAGACCCAGGGTCTTCATGTGGGTGCTGCCTATAACTGCCTTGCTAGCCTCATTGTCTTGTCTTCAATGAAGCAATTTATGTGAAACCACATCAAAGCAATAGGGCTCTACATACTTGTGGATTATCTACAGGACTCTTGGCGGGAGAGGTATCAGCTTACTATATTTCTCTGAAGAGACCAGAATCAAGCTCACTGGTAAGTGCCACCAAGAGCCATGAACTTAATTGAAAATGATCTGGTTGATGACGCAACAGGAGTGTTCTAAAGACAGTGCAGCCCAAGTAGAGTCCAAAGCTTCTTTAAAAAGTTCCCAAGTGGGATCTGATTCATCAAATTTCTACATGAGTACAAGTCAGAACACTGGAGAAGTCCAGACAACACACAAGCAAATTTATACATACCCCAGCCAACAATGCAGAATTTAAGGATGTACTTTCGGATGTAAGTATTAAACACCTTGACAAGTGCAAGGTACATGTGGAATGCTTCTAAGCCCATCCATGTGAATGAGACCAAGAGGAAATAGTGAAGAAATACAGCCACAGAGATGCAGAAACCTCGGGTATTATACAGTGCAATCCAGGAGTCTAGCAGGAAGACCAAGTTGAGCAGAAGCAGGGCAGCACACAGCTGGATGAGGATTTTGGAAGGGTAATCCCTCCTGATCTTTCTAAAATGAGAGGACAAGAAAAGAATTATTAGGGCCAGGCAGTGGTGGCGCACGCCTTTAATCCCAGCACTCAGGAGGCAGAGGCAGGTGAATCTCTGTGAGTTCGAGACCAGCCTGGTCTAAAAGAGCTAGTTCCAGGACAGCCTCCAAAGCCACAGAGAAACCCTGTCTCGAAAAACCAAAAACAAAAAATTATTAGTATTACAGTTTGGCAAACTTTGTATAAGAATATCCCTCAGGCTGTTTAAGAGTTTTAAGTGATTTATTCATGTGGTATGTATACTACATATACAGATTTCCTTTCAGAGTGGGTGAATGTACAGGGGATGTTAAAACTAACAACATCTGGGTGGTGGTGGCACACACCTTTAATCCCAGCACTGGGCATGCAGAGGCAGGCAGATCTCTGTGAGTTTTAGGCTATCCTGGTCTACAGAGCAAATTCCAAGACAGCCACGACTACACAGAGAAACCCTGTCTCAAAAAAGCAACCAAACAAATAAACAAACAACAGAAAAATCTAAACTGAGGAATTGTGATAATTAATATTGTCAACTCCAATAAACTTCTAAAATCACTGAAGCGACAGGCCTCTGAACTCACCACCAGTGAGGGTAGGAGCAGGCTAACTGAGGTGGGAAGCTCCACATTGAATGTGGGTGGCACTATTCCATGAGTTGGGCCTTCGACAGAATGTCAGGGCCCATAAAGAGGGGTCCCTTTCATCTTGCCTCAAAATCAGAGAGTTTAAAACTACCCTTATACCTATAAATCTGTAGCTTTGCTGCTGCAGGATGTTTCGGCCTTGATAGTGGATGTCTTATCTAAATAACAACAGACTTGGGCTCAGGTGTGTTTACTCTTGACCCTCAAGGCTGGATGGCAGGTGTGGCTACCAAATACCTAGAGGATTAAGGGAAGTAATTCTGTTTTCCCCTTATACATGGTAATAGAAGTCTTCTGCCATTGTCCCCACTTTTGGTTGGGTACTTAAGAATGTTAAAGAATAAACTAAGGGTGGTCAGTATGGACTGAATGGCCCTCCTGACATCTATTCTACGTCTCTGTCTTTTCCTTTAATATTGTTAGCTAGTTTTTCTTTATCCACACTCCCCCTCTCAGGTACGAACCATGGGCAAAACAGCTAGCTCTGACTGCAGACCCCCAAAAGACAGCTTCCCACAACAGAGTAAAAAAAGAGAAAGTGTCTGAGCACCAGAATTCAACACTCTCAGTTCCTGCTGCTGTGATACCCCTACATCCCTATCATGATGCACAGAAACTTCAACCTATGAGCCAAATAAACCTTTCCTTAACTTGACTTTGTCAGGTGTTCAATCACAGCAACAGGAAAAACAGCTAATATGACAACCATACAGCAAATATGTCTCAACTTTTGAAGAATCTTTTACATGCTGATTGTAAACCGTCCCCCACTTTTAAATAGTGTGGAATCAACACCACTGAGAAGCCACCCCACTTCTCATAAAGTACTTCGAGAAGTACCACTAGTTCTTCTCACATAATAGGCTGCTATGTCCAGACCTTCAAACTATGGTCAGATTGCTATATCATCTTACACTATGACTTAAATTGAGATCATGGAAAGAAAGGTTTAAACTATAGCTAAATGTAATGACACAGCAAAACACAGTTAATTGATCTGCTAAGATTTCCTCCTAAAAAGTTATGAGAGGAGCCCTTCTGGTGAGCCAATAAGGAGGTGATGTTATTTGGAGAGTCATTCCTTGTTTTCACTTAGAAAGCCACACTCAACTGAAATTTTCAGTTAAGTTTTACACTCATCTTCCTCATTCCTATACTAGTTAATATAGTTAATCTTTCACATTTGCTCAGTGTTATTTATAAACTTAATTTGTGATTTTTTTGCTGTACATTGTGCTATGGTCTCTTTCATATTGTAACCTCTTTTGTTTCATTATTTCTTTTTTCCTCCACTGAATTCTCATGACATACCAGGCACCCATGCTGGGCACAAAGATGAGCCCATAAAGTAGGGGAAGGCAGAAGCACATGAACAAAAAATTCACATAGAATTTCATAACCAGACATTCTACTCTGTGGATATAAAGGACATGACATGCTAAAGAAAGGGTAATGCATTTTGGTGGTGAAGGTAAGAGCTTCATCTTACAAACCAAATTTCAAGTTGTAGATACTCACTCAAAGGCTATGTAGGTTACAAGAGTAACTGACAGAAAAATTGATGAAAGCCCACAGCCAATATATGTGATAAATGTCAGAGCCATCATTTGACTTGGTGGTAAGGATGTCCGAGATAGGTCCTGGGAAATGAAATATTTCTATTAGTGATCAATCCATCTTGAATATATAATTCTTGTTATTACATTTGTTGAATATGCTAAATACCCATTAATATTCTCATAGTCTGTTTAACCAACATATGAGATAGGCACAATCACTTTCATCAGGTACAAATAAGAATATAGGGAGTTCCAATAACCTACTTGAGGTAGTAGCTAGAAGTAGAGGAATCAAAATTCAAATTCAGGTCTGCCTGACTCCAAAGGTCATATATTTGATCGATGCATCATAGTACACTGGGAAAGTGCTGGATAAGGAGCCTAAAGACTGATATTTGGCTCCTGGCTCTTACATTTCTTAGTCCTATGACTATGAATAACCACCACAAGTCATAATTCTAATTGCAAAAAAATCAACCTGTGTTTAAGGATTGCTGGAAGATTAAATGACATCATTTAAGGATAGAGGTATGGCTAAGTAGGTAGATCATTTGCCTAGCATGCACATAATAATAACAGTAACAATAATTATGTCAAAGTATATTATAAACATTTTAAGTGCATTGAAAGGTAAATGATTTGTGTTGTCCACTCTAAGCAGAATCCCTTGCTACTTAGAGGAGGAAAATGTAAATGTAAATATATAATATTAAGAAACACTTGTATTCTACATTCAAATATTAATCTTTAGATGCATTTGGTTATTAAAAGAGTGGTTTCATTGGTATATAACTATTCCACAATATTGTCTTTTCTGCTTATCTCTCTAGTCATCAAGTAGAGTAGATGATCTGATATAATGTCCAGATAGCTCTAAGACGCAGAATCTAAGGCCATGGAGCATGCGTATGTTACCATTAGGATGCCAAAACTTGTAAGGTGGCTACAGGTACAGGTGGTTTCATTCAGCCTCTTGTCTTTGATGGAGCAGCCATCAGATGACCAACCTCCTCTGCCACCTGTTGGCATCAAGAGCAATATCTGTTCCATCAGCAAAGCCATAACACAGTGACTTACCAACTTCCCCACTCACTCACTTAAGACCTTTAAAGGGTTTAAATTGGAACCTACCATTTCTGCCCAAGTCCCAGAAGACACATTTCACAGCTGAGTCATCCTATAGCAGAAAATAAGTCATGGCTACTTAATTTATCAAACTGAAGAGCAATTAGGAAAATCAGATACTTTTAATTTTATAATCTTATGCTTGATTTTTGGAGACTTACAAGATTCTTAGAAACAAATGAGCCCCATTTAGGTCAGTGCTTCTTAAAATGTGTATAGAAATCACCTAAGGGATTTGTTTAAAAATGTACAGTCGACTTGGTGTAGAGCACTTGCCTAGATTGTGAGGGCATGAGTTCAATCCCCAGCCCAGGGGACAGGGGATAATTTTTGGCTCAGTGAGTCTGGAGTGGGAGCTGAGCATTTGCAAGTCTAGTTAATTCTCAGATGACATTGATGTTGCAGGTCTGAAGACCACACTCTGTGAAGTGAAGTTGTAGCTGAAGCTTAGTATGAGACGAGGTCTCTGGAGGTGGGAGTCAGACTTGCAGCCACATCTCTGTCCACAGTATAATTCAGCAGTGGCTAAAAGCTTGCTTTTGCATTTGTCTGCCTCAGAAACTGCATGGTCAAGGATGAAATGATTCTGGAATTCAAAATTCTGTAGAGCAATAAGCAATTGTAGTCTTCCACAATCTCCTGATTCAAGTTATGCCTTACACTCATAATCTGTACAAGGAGGTGTCCTTGGTCAGTGAACAAACCAGACAGGCCTCTCCTCACCTGACTTGGGTCGATGTGCTTCAGCATGACTGTTACGTTTCTTGTTAAGTTCTTGATAGTCATGTTTGCAACACTTGATGATATGACGTAGCTGATCAGAGAGAGGTTCTCCAAGGAGGGGTCCTAGCACAACAAAGAGCCAGCAAAATGACAATGGAAATGAAATATGATGAGGGGGTTTTAGGGCTAGAAGGACACTAAGGACTATTTGAACTCACATTGTTTGCAATGTGGGTCAGAAATTGTCATTTAGTAAAGTAACTTTTCCAAGACACAGCAGATAGAAGTGGGGCTTATTCCATCTTGAGGCTCTAAATACTAAGTTGAAGTGCACAGTTGACACAATAGGACTTCGTGAATATTTAAAGGGAGACACAACATTAATCATTTAAATCTTGTATCCCTGAGCAAGCTACTGAAACTCCCTGTGCCTCGAGTACCTCTCTGTAAAATGGGGGTAACAATGGGTTTCTTCTTCCCAAGATAGGGATTAGAGACAACACTTGTGAGTCCTTAGGGTAGAGCTTGGCTATTTGTAAGTACTATAGATTTGTTGGGAACTGCTAGTTATCATCATAAGAAACATTAGTGTGTGAATAAGAATTAACCACAGTTTTAAAACTTCATTTGATTTGTAGCAGGTTAATAATATGTGATGATTAAACAGAATTAAATCACCCATCTTCAAACCAAACCAGCCAAAACCAGTAAGCAGCAACTTTACCTGAAACAGGGCAGGTGTTTCAAAAAAATTGAACTGAATCCTAGAAGCCAGTTCTACCTCATTAGCTGGCAAGTTATTCATCAGTGATGAAGGCAGAGTGATGGCACCAATACTATTCTCGGGAGCCTGGGTTTCCAGAGAAACCTGGATATCAAGTAAGAGATAATAAAAGGGTCTGAGTTGATACAATATGGTGGTCAAAACCACAACTCAATGTGGAGGGGCCTGAAGGAGCTTAATCTGTGATCTGCTTCAGCATTTCCAGATCCCAGTCCTTCTAAAGGGTAGATAGAAAACACTAGAAGTGGGATTGCTTTTTAGCACCGCTATATACAATAGTGTAGTTATAAAAATTCTTAAATATGTTGAAATTCATCTCCATGCCTAGGTCCCTCAACTGCCTAGTATTTCTTCATGAAGTTCCATGAAGATACCATTCCTTGCCATCCCTCCACATACCATAATACCAAACACCACCCCCCACTTTCCACTATCCAGTTGTTAAAGGGTTAACGTGGGCACACCCTCTATCCAAGTTATATATCCTTTGAATTCAGGGTTTTGTGCATGCAAAACAGGTCCAATACTACTGAGTCACATGCCAGCCCCTGAAAACAATGTCAGTTTTTATTCTGTCAGTGCTTTCTCTGGCTGCTCTGTATACCAGGCTGGCCTTGAACTCAAAGAGTTCTGCCTGCCATTACCTCCTCAGTGCTGGAATTCAAGGACTCAGATGTTAAATCTTTTGAAAGCTGAATATCACCCCTGATAACCAACAATAATTGCCTCCATCAGTGACAACAATAGGGGCTCCAATCAATCATGCACCAGAAAATGTTGCTTCCATAAGAAATTAGATTGTACCTGAAGATTTTCTGAGTCTTGGGCTGCAAAGGTTGTTGTATTGAAATTACTGGCATTCACTCTGACGACAGCAAGAGCCAAAGAAGGGGAAGTTAGACTGATGGTTGTATTTGAAAACTTCAGCTGTAAGCCAATGTCATCTACCACTTTTAGCAACCTGTAAAGACAGTTGGCAGTTTTAATTTAGTCCTTTTTTCTCTCTCCCCCATTTTCATATAGGGTAGCAACTGGACATTATCACGAGCCTAGTCCTTGGGGGCAAATACTTGGATATCACTGTCACATAAGCAGTATCTTTAGCGTTAGAGGGGAGCCTCTTAGCACCCTGTAATGTACATTATGTAGTTAAATTGCCACGTGTTGTTAAACATTGTTGAAAGAGAACTCATGCAGCAAGGAGGGCCCTCCTGTTCTAGACTCCAGAATGCTTATTTCAAGAGTTCTCCAAAATGATATTTAAAGAGCCATTTCCTGGGACAGGCTGCTTCTCTGATGCCGTAACAGGAAGAAAGGAAAGGCAAGCAGCAGGAGTGTATTAAAAACATTGTGTCCTTGAGAAGAGCTAGGAGGCGAACTATTTACAATGCAGGTTACTATTGCTTACCCCATAATATAAAGATGCCTACAGCAGGAACTGGAGGCTGGAAGTCATCCATGGAGACAACAAAGAAGACCCTTTCCCCTGACCCGCTCAACTGGGAAATCTAGTTGACTGCCTCAGTTGGTTTCTGCTAGATGTTTGTAAGCCCCTAATTTGAAAATGTCACCATTTGTTTCCTTTCTTAATTGGGCTACATCAGTCAAATGTCTCTGCTGGATGTTTTGAGCCCCCAGATTAGTGATGTTTTGCTATCTGTTGCTTCTATCTTCTACCCAATATTTATTCTTGCTTTTGCTTGTTTTATACTTAATAAACTCATTCATTCAAAACAGAAAGCTCAGCTATCATGGCTCATTCCCTGAACCATGCAGAACATACCTTTTCTGTTTGCTAAGTCATACCTTTGAGCCAGAGGGGCTAGCAAGGCAGGTGGAGAGTGAAGGAGTTTGCTGACTCGGTTTACCATTTCGCCTGCAAGGTTAGGCTCTAAGCCTCCCAAGGACAATACTTTTTCCATCTGTGAGACTTGGGCCTCAAGATCAGGAACACTGCTGGTGTTGACAACTTCTGCATAAAAAAGCCATGTTATTAATGCATGATATGAAAAATCGCTTCCAAAGGTAAAGCTATAGATCCTATGATGTGGTCAGCTCATTCCTAGGTATTTGTCCAAAAGAAGAAAATATATGTGTTTAGAAGACTTAGTTGTGATTTCTCATAGAGACGTTTTTCATAATAGTTCTAAACTAGAAATAACCCAAATGTCCATGAACTAGAAAATGGATAGATAAATTGTGGTTTATCCACAGTGGAACATTATTTAATGATAAAAAAATGAGCTACCAGGAGTTGGTGGCACACGCCTTTAATCCCAGCACTCGAGAGGCAGAGGCAGGTGGATCTTTGTGAGTTCGAGGCCAGCCTGGTCTCCAGAGCGAGTGCCAGGATAGGCTCCAAAGCTACACAAAGAAACCCTGTCTCAAAAAACAAAACAAAACAGCAAAAGAGCTACCAATATACTCAACAACATGTATGGCTCTCCAGTTGTCTAACATGTTACATGACAAAATCCAAATTCAAAAGGGTACATCCTATATGATTCTCTTCATACGACATTTTTAGAAAAGTTAAAACTACAGGGAAACACAACATGCCAGTGGTGGCCAGGGCCTAGAGGTAAGCTCTGACTTAAAAGAGACACAAAGGAACTATAGAGGTTGTGGAAAAGTTATGTATCTTGTTTGTGATGGTAGTTCCATGACCACAGATGCTTATCTAACTGCATAAAACTATGAAAATTCCATTTATCCATACAACCGGTGAACTTTTATTGTATGTAAATTATTTTAATAAACCTGACTAAAAATATAAAACCACATCAGAGTATTTATACAGTGATATAAATAGTGATGTAAATACAAATATTTTACTAGTATTCAATTTATATCATTTGAACAAGATTTATATCTTTTATGAACAAGAAATTATGAAGTCAATAGCCAGATTATCAGCTATGTTATTTTTATAGTGTTCAATTAAAAAAATAAACATCAACAATATAAACCTGTCTTTAACAACAAAAATCTGTGTGTCCCTGTCTATCTGTAGGTTGCTCTCTCTCTCTCTCTCTCTCTCTCTCTCTCTCTCTCTCTCTGTGTGTGTGTGTGTGTGTGTGTGTTACTTTCTTTTTTTGAGACAAGGTCTCAAGTAGGCAAAGCTTCCCTTGAACTCCTGATCCCTGAGATACTGTCTGGACTCTTCAAATGCTAGAATTACACCACACCCAGATTTTAAAATATACAAAAAGGTTTCTTAGATATAACAATATTATAAGATTTCTTATTTTGCATATTCCTTTCTGGTCTATATCCATGTGCATCTATACTATTATGAACATGGAGTATTTTAAACTAGCTGTTGTTGGGCCATCATCCCTTCACATCAAGATTTTAAAGTATCTCCACATTTTTGTACAGCTATTCTAATGGCCCATGTCATTGTGTTGAGGTAGCATGTTCTATATAATCTTATATAATCACTCTTCTCTTATGTAAGCATTAAGCTTTAATGATTTTTGAACTACTAGGCTATACTCTGATGTGCATCTTGTATGCATATGTTGTTCACTTCTGTTGCCCTAAGAATCGAAGCATAGGCTCTGGGTCCTCTTGATGGCTTTTGGAGTAACCTGTGTGATTGATTTGGAAAAAATCACTGTAGTCCCAGTGCAAGGAATTTCAACCATAATTTATTATTCAGCTGTTAAACCTCTTAAATTGTGATTCCATAATTTTGACCAAAATTTCTACATTTATTTTAAAATAATTTGACAGCAGTGCTTATTGAGAGAAATAGTAAATCACTTGGAAGAAGCTCCAAATATCCTTGGGGATGCTGGCACAATGGCAGAGGAGCAGAAACCATAACCTGGATCTAGACTAGCAATACACCAGACTTGGCTTTGTCTCCCATCCTCTAATTCTTCTTCTTCTTCTTCTTCTTCTTCTTCTTCTTCTTCTTCTTCTTCTTCTTCTTCTTCTTCTTCTTCTTCTTCTTCTTCTTCTTCTTCTCTTCCTCCTCCTCCTTCTCCTCCTCCTCTTCTTCTTTCTCCTCTTCCTTCTTCATCCTCCTTCATCTGCCTCCTCCTCTTCCTTTCTTTTTCTTTTTTAAAAATTTGTTTTGAGGCAAGGTTTCTCTGTAGACCAGGCTAACCTCAAAATTACAGAGACCTGTCTGCCTCTGCCTCCCAAGTGCTGGAATTAAAGGTTGCGTCACCACAACAGGCCCTAAATGTGTAGCCCAGGTTGGCCTCAAACTCCACTCCCTCTGCCTCCTTTAGCAAATCCTACTGGTGGGCACCACCATAACTGGCCCATCCTCTGATTTCTAAAGGAAGACCCACTTTTTATTCAATGAACTTAAAGTTCTAGACACCCAGGACTACTCTCTGTTCTTTCCCTCTTCCCATTATTCCCATGCAACTAAGCCCACATAGCTTCTGGGAACCCTTTGCCATTTCCATGGCTTTTCCATATATACTATTGTTCCTAGCCAAGTGCAACTAGTGTCACATATCCACCCATCATCACATGAAATAGGTCAGAAGGTGCCAAAATGTTCATTTTAGTTTTTGCTGCATGTGAGGGCTTAAGCCTGGGTCTTCCAAATGTTTCAGAAGAATGGTTTAATGAGGTCTTAACCTGTGTCTTGATTTTGCAAGCTGCTAGCTGCATTTTAGGAAGTTCAAATCCCAACATCCCCCAGGATCAGCTTGGCTTCTCATATTTACCTGTCTCACCAGGAGGTATGCTGATGGTGACCACCTTTTCAGGGACAGATGGAGCTGGTGGGGTAAGAGAGGGAAGGGAGGACTGCACAGGTGGCAGGGTGTGGGAAAAATCAGTTTGTGGCAGAGAGGAAGAGACAGCTACAGGCTGAACAGGTATGTCAGTGGCAGGGCCAGAAGGCTGGGGAGACGGAAGGTGACTCTCTTGTGCCAGAGAGGGTGTGCTTTGGGTCATAGAGGCACGATCAAGGGGTTCAGACAAAGACAAGTCACTAGCGATGTGGGACAAAATGGTGGCCTGAGGTACAACCGGCACCGGCTTGCTGGAAGAAGATAACGGTGGGCCATGTGGCTGATAAGCAACACAGACAATGGGATCCTGCAGTTCGCTAAAGGAAAAAAATCAGAGAGATCCATATGAGACACCAATAAGGTACAGAGGGCTGAGTCCTCACCACCAGCAGCTACCTGGTACCACCAAGTTAACGGGGTTTCACTCTAAAAGACTGGACACTTCACACACTCTGTGCCTCTGGCACTGGCTTCTGGCCCTGTTTCCTTCATACTTTTGGGGAAGAGAAATTAGCATTATTCTACAGACACCAGTTCTGGTTCACTGATTTATCACTGTTCTAGAGCTCTATGCCATACTGTGTTTCACTCAGTTGAGGGGATATTACAACATTCTCTATCCCTGGAGGAAAGACATACCAAATGTCCCATAAGTCCACTGACCTCATTACATTAGAAATCTGTCTTCACCATTTCATAACATTATAACCAGGTATAGTGGTCACTAGCACATGGTAAGTGATCAAGAAATATTGGTTGGATAAAAATATGAATCAAGCTGGGGCCAAAGAGATAGCTCCCGGCTTGTCAGTCAACTACTTCTTAACATTGCTTTAGTTCAGTGGTGCTAAACCTTGGCTATACATGAGCTCTATTAGAGAACCTTGAAAATATATCCATATAGATAGATAGGCAGATTATATTGCAGCTTGACCAGATGTAGAGTCAGCTAGGAGACACCCTATGTCTGCGAGGGTGTTTACAAACAGGTTTGACTGAGAGAAGACCCCCGCTGTATGTGGGTATCACCATACTTGGGCTGGGGTTCAGCATTCATCTCTCTCAGCTTTGAGACTGTGGGTGCAATGTGACCAGCCCTCTCATACTTGTGCTGTCATAACAAATAGTATTCCTTCTTAAACTAAAAAAGCAAATAAATCACTTCTTCCTCTTAAGTTGCCTCTGCCAGGTATTTTGTTTCAGAAATGAGGAATCTAAATAGGTAGAGAGAGAAAGAGATACAGGACAGATAGATTTCTGTGGCTTACCCTCATGCCTCATGTAGTTAGTATTGGGATAGCATCTAGTGGATCTCAGGCATGTGTATTTTCTAGACATTCTGGTGATGACTTTCCCAGATAGAACTCACCTACTATCTTCACATGATCACTATGTCTTAGAACATATTAGGGAGGAGTAACTAGAGTGGACAAATAAAAACTCAGGGATGTCTCTGATAGACCCAGTTTTAGATGGAGACAGAAAAACCAATGAAAATATATTCTTAGAGAGCTTCTCTTAGACAAGAGGAGGGAGAATAATTGTATTGAGGAGCTGTGCTGGCTAGTCTTATGTCAATTTGACACATAAACTAGTGTTATCTGTCTGAAAGAAGAGAACCCCAATTGAGCAGATGCCTCCATAAAACCAGCTGTAAGACATTTTCTTGATTAGTGATTGATGGGGTAGGGCCCAGCCTATTGTGCATGGTTCCTTCCCTGGGCTGCTGGACCTGGACTCTATAAAAAGGTAGGCTGAGCAAGCTATGGGGAGAAAGTCAGTAAGTAGCATTCCTCGTTGGTCTCTCCATCAACTCCTGCCTCCAGGTTCCTGCCCTGTTTTAGTTCCTGTCCTGACTTCCTCTAATTATGGACTATGATCTAGAAGCATAAGTCAAATAAACCCTTTCTTTCCCAACTTGCTTTTGGTCATGATGTTTTACCACAGCAATAATAACTCGAAGACAGGAGCTTTGGATAAGCATAACTTTAAAGATTGGTATGAAGTTCAGTTGGTAAGTGTGCCTGCTTCAAAGATATTAAATACTGGGTTTGACCCCAAGCACCACATAAACTGATGATTCTGCCACTTGGGAAGTAGAGACAGGAGGATCTGGAGTCCAAGGTCATTGACTACATTGTGACTGTAAAATCAGTAGGTTTAAGACATGAGGTCCTGTCTCAGAGGGAGCAAGAGAGTGGGACAGAGACAGAGAGTGAGACAGACAAAGACACAGAGACAAAGAGAGCCCTCTGGATGAGTGATTTACCACATGCCTGTGAGATGCCATTCTCTTCGTCATATATTATGCAACCCATCTGGCCATGTTGTGGAAAGGTGCCTTGCAACAGGTACATGAGATTGTCTTCAGGTTACACGGAGGCTAGAGAAGCTAGACTCCCACCACAGGCTTCCATTATAGGGCTGCCTTGGATTCCTGTTGCTCGTGCTAATCCTGAGCCTTCAGCCATTGAGTGAAGCAACCCAAGTAAACACCAGAGAAGTAGATGACAAAGCTATTCAATGCTGGTGCCTAGATGGCCCTCCCATACAGCTGGTCTGCAATTTCTGGGGTTGAACACAGGCATGGATGCTTCCATATGCAGTAAAGTGTATTTGCTTTGCATTTAGCACCAGATGAATGGTATGTATATATAGACCTGAGTTATCACCACCTAATTTCTAAACATAGAATAGTCCTGGTGCCCCAGAAGGGTACTCTGACACATCCGCATGTTATCAAAGTGTCCCAGGTGTCTCTACTAATCCTAAGGACCAATATATTTCAAAGACCCAGTGATCATACAATTCTAGCTCAGTAGTTTTCACATTTGGCTTCAGATTAGAATCATCTCACTCAGGGGTTTGTAAAAACCTCAGGAGCTTGTGCTATACCAGTCCAATCTCTGAAGGTAGGAGGCAGGAACTGTTTTTTTTTTTTAATTCCCCCAGTGACTTATGCATAAGGCCATGGCAGAAAATCACTGCATTGCTCTATTACCTGTATCCTTAGTCTTCAAAATAGGTGTCAGGAGCCAGGTATAGTGGTGCACACCTTTAATCCCAGCACTTGGGAGGCAGAGGCAGGCAGATTTCTATGGATTTCTGTGAGTTTGAGGTCAGCCTGATTTACATATGAGATCCAGACCAGCCAGAGTTACATGATGAGACCTTGTCTTAAAAAAAGCAAAACCAGCTGGGCGTTGGTGGCACACGCCTTTAATCCCAGCACTCGGGAGGCAGAGGCAGGAGGATCTCTATGAGTTCGAGGGCAGCCTAGTCTCCAGAGCCAGTGCCAGGATAGGCTCCTAAGCTACACAGAGAAACCCTGTCTCAAAAAAACAAACAAACAAAAAAAAGCAAAACCAAAACGTCTATGTGAACGTGGAGTTCAGGGACCAGCCCCATTGGGATCCTCCAGGAGTTCACTAGAAATGCAGAATCTCAGGCTCTTCCCCAGACTCACTGGGTCACAATTCACATTTCAAAGGGTGCACAGAGATTGATGCATGTGGAAATGGTTAAGACTGGTCAAATTCACTTTCTAATTTACAGAGGCTAGTTCATTTCCCCACCTCACCTAAGACTTTGAAGGTAGAAAGTACCTACTTTAGAATGGACTTGGATGTATGACTAGAGAATGACAGCAGTAGGCAGGCATGGACCTAAATCTGCCCTGCTTTCCACGGACTGCTCCTTCCTAATAGATCTCTGAATGGGAAGCCTTTAGAGGGCATGGGTGCCGCCTTAAGAGTGAAGGCCTTTTGCTCCAATTCTGGCACTCTAGATATCCTATCCCCTAAATAGTTCTCAACTTCTAGCTTAATGGAAGTTGTTATGTTTAATAGGGTATGTTTATCTTCAGTCTTTATTGAAAAAAGATACTACAGATCTTTAGAGAATTTTAACTGTCCCTTGAACCCAGTGTTTTAACATACCCCAGAAATATGGCCCATATTGGGCTGATAGAGTACACTTGGCCTTCTCTTCCCATATGGGAAGCTTCACATTTTAAATTATGTATGTCCGAGGTCCTCCCCATGTCCCCTCCTACTTAGATCCACACCTGAGTCTCCAGGCATCTAAGGAATAATAATAAAACAAAATAAGCAAAAAGGAACAAATTGGAATAGAACAAAACAAACATACAATCAGAAGAAAAAAACCACAGAAAAAGCATGAGAAACACATATAGATTCAGAGACACACATGTTTGTACACATAGAAATCCCATAGCAACACAAAATTGGAAGTCATAATACATATGCAAAGGGCCTACACAGTTAAAAAATGCTCTAACTCCCTAAGATTTTTTTCTGACTATAGAAAAATAGAAAATTCTGTAAAATAAAAGAAGGAAAATGCAGAGAAGAGGAAAAGGAGAAGGAGGAGATAGAGATAATAAAATATTCAGGCAAGTGAGTCATGGGAAGCCATGTGAACATTTTCATTGGTTCATTCATTTTTTTCTATGTACATTTTGTTGTACCCATGATCACATCATATGTGACTTTTGTAGTCTTCTTCCTAGTTACCCACTACAAAGAAATGAGTTATGGAAGTGATTCTCAATTTTGATTGTACATTAAAACTCCCAAAGTATCTTTGCCCCCTTTATTTTGGATTTTTGAGAGAGGGTCTTACTCTATGCAGCCAAGGCTGAAATTCAAACACATTATTATGTAGCTCAGGCTGGTTTCAATCTCAAGGTGAGCCTCCCACCTCACAGCCTTTTGAGAAGAGGGTTTTAAAGCCTTAAAAACCTAGGGTATATCTCAGATCATTCTACTCCAGAATATCTGGGGGTGGTGATTAGGAATCAGCATTTCTAAAACTAAAATTTGAGCTAACTTTTGGCTTATAGAAAGATGGCACAACAACAGAGTTCTACATGTCCTTCATCCAGCATCTTCCAATGTTCACATCTGACATCCAGAATGAGACCCAAGTGCCAATTAACATTTAGAACACCACAAAGATGTACCATACCCAGCTCTAAAAACAATCTGTAAGGCTTTCCCAGTGATTCCAGTGTATGGACAAGATTGAGAAACACTGTTTTAAGTTAGTGGTCCAAATGGAAGCTCCACAGAATGGAAAACCATTTTCTATGAAATTGAAAGCCTCTCCACAATCTGAAAATCCTGACTATCCTTGGCTAGTGTTTGTTGTGCTGTGAAAGAAAATGGCCTCCATAAACTCTGAGGGAGTGGCACTATAAGGAAGTATGGCTTTGCTGGAGTAGGTGTGACTTTGTTGGAGGAAGTGTGTCACTAGAGGGCAGACTTTGGGGTCTCAGATGCTCAAGCCATGCCCAGTGTGGAAGCCTCTTCCTGCTCCCTACAGATCAAGATATAGAACTCTCAGTTCCTTCTCCAGCACCATGTCCGCCTGCACGCCACCATGCTTCCCACCATGATGATAATTTACTATAACTCTGAAACTGTGAACCAGACTCAACTAAATGTTTTCCTATATAAAATTTGCCATGGTCATGGTGTCACTTCATTGTAATAAAACCCTAAGTAAGACAGCTAGCATGGTGATTAAATGTTATATGTATATTCTATTTTATTTTCAGATATAATTTAGTTTGTTTTTTATATTTATTTGTTTATTTATGAGAAGCTCTGTAAATGTGTTACATACCATTGAAGTTTTTCTAATTCTTCTGGTGAGGAAGGGCAGGGAGTCCTGAGAGAACAGCAACACTGTTCTAAAGAAGACAAAAAAAAAGGAAAAAATGCATGGTCAAAAATAAAGCAAAAGCCAGATGGTGGTGGCACATGCCTTTAATCCTAGCACTGGGGAGGCAAGAGGCAGGTGGATCTTCGTGAGTTCCAGTCCAGCCTGATCTACAGAGCTAGTTCCAGGACAGCCAGGGCTACACAGAGAAACCCTGTCTCAAAAAACAAAAAGAATATAGAAAAATAGAAGCCCAGGCTCATATAGTATACAATTATTATACTGACAGGCTGTATTTTTAAAGAGTAATTTAAGACTGTACTTTCAGGGTTCATTTCTATAGTTAGTTAAAGAATAATTTTTCAGGATCAGTGATAAAATTTATTGACTGTGTTTATATTAACAATTATATATATAATGCATGCTAAAATATTTATTGGGTAACTTTTTTCTGTTTGGTTATGTGCTTGCAATATCAATCTTTCTTCAGAAACTTCAAAGAGGAATTAAGAAGTTAACATATCCTGGAGAAAATTAGGTTAAGTGAAAAAGGCCAGGTATAGAAAGACAAATATCACATGATCACAATTACTTGTGGAATCTACAAAGGTCTAACTCATGGAAACAGAGAATGAAATTAGGGGTTACCAGATCATTTAAAATGAGAAAATTGGATTTTTTTGGCTAAATGACACTACATTCAGTTAGACTTCAAGAGACCTATTATGTGACATGGTGACTGTAGTTTCTATATTATATACTTGAAAATTGCTGAGAGTACATATTTAATGGTCTCATTACAAAAAGAAAAACTTAAGTATGTGAGGTTGTGCATATGCTAAATAGCCTGCCTTAGAAATTCTACAATCTACACAAAAATATCAGTTTACACATAAATACACATAGCTTACCTGTCAATTAAAAATGAATCTGACAAGAGCTAGCAACAATCCACTGAATACTCTACACAGAGACCCCCATCTCAATAGAGGTTTTTAAAATCATGTTTTCATATGATATATTGATAGTTTATAAGAAAACAGGAAAAATAACCTTTTCAGACATCAAAATGCATGTGAAAAAGAACACAGCCAAAGACAGAGGCATCTTACCCATTGGCCAAATCTGTACAGTTTTGAAAGTAACCATCATGGCACACATATTTGCATTCGTCGTCTCATTCAGTTTTATTGTGAATGTACAGTTTAATGTGCTGTAAAGAGAAATGCATACAGTCAGAATGTTA